TTTAGCCAAAGACATTGTAGTGACCAACGATTTGTATAATAGAAACAATTATTACTATAACCAACTGTACCTGTGTGTTCAGTTGTACTAAAACCATACTTTCTTCCGTTTACTGTGACCTCGCACGCTTTCGTTTGCACTACGTAGTCCCGCTTGTACTATTCGGCACGATCTCGGTGTTATTTCGATACCACGAGATAGCCAACGAATATATTCTATTACGATAGTCATTTGCCTTTTGGCTTTTGGCCAACGAAGGGATCAAACCCAATATCTGGTACGAAATCTTCCGGTGGTGGTGATCATAGTCAGTCGCGACTCAGCGCCTACTACAACACTTACAGCACCACACAACCTATAATTGTGGCACATAAGCTTGGCTGATTCCAACAAATTATAATCACTATATCTCAATTAAATCGTATTTCGTCTTGTACTAAACTGCATACCGGCAAATAACTTGTATGCACCACCAGTTGTTAGCTATGAATATAAATAAATAGTCTGTGGCAAATCAAAACACTTAGTTTAGAGCAAGCGTCTTACGAATACACTCATGTTTAACGAATTGATTTTAGTTATTTGTCCAAAATTCACATAAATATCACTTTTCACATGATAAAATTTTTTTGATAATCATTCATATGTATTAGTGAATACTAAATTCTATCACGGTCAAGTAGAAATGAGATTGAGAAAATCTTCCTGTAACTAAATAAACCGTATCAGACACTAGTTGGAATTCTTCTCCACGGTAATACTTTTGTCCTTTCAGTTAGCCTACTAATACAGATGCAACTGGAAATCAACCCATATGGACAGCTTACCGGCATGAACATTATTTGACCTAAACAAATACTAATATTAACATTTCTACAATATTCGTTGTTTTTAGTATTTCGGGACACGAAATTCTATTAACCTACAGCCATTACTACGCATCTTATGGCGATTTATCGAAATATCTATGCACGAAATTGTTCTTAATTGTTATAGTCCCACTCTGTTTAACTCCGATATAATCTTCACATAGACTTCTATTTTTTTGCGTGTTAAGAATAAAACTAAACATTTTAAAATTACTTATACGGCCTACAACTTGAGCCATTAATTAATTATTATTACTATGCATTTTAATGTGACTTGTTAAAATATCTCTATACTAAATCGTTCATCATTGTGATAATTGACGTATAAATGATGTTTATGTGCGTTTTCATTTTAAGTGTGCTTAACATGAAAACAGACATTTTGAAGTTATTACATGTGTTTCCCGATCAGTTGTTGACGCCTTTCTTTTTGATTAGACGTTCAACTTATCAATACCGGGAATATTCTTATTATCATTGGTAAACTCCGGCGCACGATAATCCCATCCAATTTGGTATCAAACCAACATCACGTTCATTCTGATGGGAGAGTGGTGCAATGACATTAGACCTTAACAACACAATCCTCAAAGCTGAACACGAGATAATTGGGGAAATAGACATTCAGCATTTAACGCGGAGAAAAACCCAACGATGGAGAAGGCAGAAAGAAGGAATTGAATCAATTGATTAGTCGTGGGCATGGCTCAGCCTCGCAGGCGTGGTCGCTCTGTGCAACTTACTTTTGATCATATTAAATATATTGTCCTATCTCCAGCCTAAATGTGTTCTTCATCATATATCTATGGCTGTTAGAATACAACGATTCGAGGTAGACAGTGATGTGACATCCACGTACGACCTTATAGATTAGGCAGTTACATCATGACAACTCTGCAATTGTAGGATTAAGTCTATTATTAGAGCAGTACTAATATAATAGTAGACCATAATTCTACATATCCTCAATTGCTCTGGGATACAACCATGACTCGCGAAACCACTGGACAGACTACAAACATCGTTGCTAAAAGAAAGATGTTAGCACGGATAGATAAAATGTTATTACGACTGAACTAGGCCAACGGCATCAGTATTTCAAATCCGTTTGTACCCCACCGAAAATCGAAAGATAATTTTTCTCTTTAAACCGGTTGATTGACTAAGCTTGTCCTGCCGAGAACGAGGCCTTCGAAAAACAACAGAAAACGATAGGCGTGAGCATATCGTGGTCTCACAAAACACAGCGTTTAGATATCTACTGATTCGTTTCCGAAAAGCAGATAATTTAAGATCTGTTCCTATGTGTTTATGTGGGATCTGGAAAATATCAAATACATGCATGCTATATGACATCAGCATTTCGTCCCTCCACGGTCATAATGTTTGTCGTCTTTTTCATTAATTTTCTATCCATCAAGTTAATTCTATTATCAAAGAATATTTTTTCCTGATATTTAAATATGCTTGCGCTTTCTCAACTGTCATTCTTAATTTATTAGAGTCTGACTATTAACTCATTTCTTACATGAACACTGATTTTGGTGGCTGCCATATTGTTTCACTGCTCTTAGATTGAACTTGCTTGAATTGACCGACATAAATTCTCTTTGGATACAATTTTGTCTCTGGTCATTAATTTTGATCATTAATTTTGAAAACTTTGATTATTCCTCCATGAATGGATTAAATGTATCTATCCAGTAGAGTAGAGCCGTAGTCTTTGTTTGGCAAGAACCTCGGTTCTAGAACCCGGGTGTTTGTAGTCGTTACAATTAAAACACATCGAGCCCGATAGTCTTAATGGGTAGCTAATGCTACTCAAGAACAAGTCCCTGGATTGTCTGTGGATACTTCATCAATTTGAATTTGTTCGTACTAATCATTGTGATAATTTCGTTATTCTTTATTTCACCAGTGAGTTATGGATTCCATTGGCTGATTTTTATGAACAAATAAAGGCTATATCACCGAGAATTGTTCTTTGACGAACGTGTGCGGGCCTATCAATATTATTGTAATGGGTAAATGTTGAGCATCGGTAAAGAGATTCGAGGTTCTGTGTGATTTGAGACCACAAGTATCTTCAAAGAAGTGAACTCAACATCCGCTGTAGTTAAAGTATAGTACGACTGACAAGTAGTTATATGGAGAACATTGCCGATTATCACGTCGTTCGAGAAACTAAGAATATCGTAAACATGATTTCGCTAGTCGTTACAATCATAGCAAATTGAGAAATAAGCCTATAATCCATTCCGGGTCAAGGAGGGCAGTGCTATATTAGTTACCGGGTCCGAGCTCCATGATGTGTCTTACTACTCTTTTCTAGTGAGTTATATCTACAATCCGCCTGTACATGGAGGAACATGAAAGTTAGTTATTCAGGATAGTGTTTGGTGTACTTGCAAGATACTAATTTAGTAACTTGTCACATTAATTGGGACTGGGATATGCTGGTTCCTACTTGGTTAGCTAAGGGGAGAGGTGATGAAACAATTCAGTAAACTTAGATAGCTAAGCCAATGTAGTGTGGGATATCAACAATGAAGCTGCATTAGAACAATGCTACGATAGGTCCCGTATACAGAAAATTATATCAAAAGCACTACTTGGGAGGTCAGAAGTTCATGGTTGCCTCATAGGGTAAAAAAGGTGTTTGATGCTTGCGTACAAAGCATGCAGCACTGTCGACACCAGTTTTTCAAAGTAGCAGAGCAAATGTAAGTGGATGCATGTGATGTGTCCTTTTTCATTGTATCGGTTCATGCTTCAGCCGTGGGCAAAATTTTAAATAGTTGGTCTCATGTTTTTATTGCATGAAGTCTTGCCGTTAGTTCTCAAGAGTGAAAATCCTAACAGACAACGTATTCATTTTATTATTAAAATAAATATCAACATAACATTCTATTATGATACTGTACCACTGAGAATACTTACGTGCGACGTAGCGTCCACTTAATCGATAGTAGTTAAAGTGCTGTCCCAACACCAGGAGAGTAAGAACAACAAAAACTGGAGCCTCATAGTTTCGATTTGTCGATTAATCGAACAACTTTGGACACCAGAGTATCACGAGTGAATATTTGATATAATTAACAAAACATGAACATTAACAGACCATTGAAGTAAAACCATCTGAGCACTGGAACAAAACGTGGGCCTCCAGTAATTGTTGAGAAAATCAAATGTTGAAGTATATTTGTAAAACGCAGCTATTTAAAAGACTATAAATACGTAAATAAAAAACAGAGCGTCTCACAATAACATTCCACTAATACTTGACATATTTCCTTCAAACGTGATGCAAAAAACTATTGATCTTGATTATTACAAGTCGATTAGCCGTAAGCTTTATCTTCTCAAAAGTGACCAAGTTCATTTGTAATATTGAAAAGTGAAATTGGACAATTGTTTTTACACATAAGTTTACAAGGACAAGTTTAGGAGTAACAGATTTAGCGTCTAATCAATCTCGAGTGGGTCAGTGAGTTAGGTGGGTCGCTTGCCGTTGTTGCAGATTTTGGTTTAGTTTATTGTTTTAAGCTTCAACTTTTCTGCTAAGTCTTACAGAAGACTTTCACAGAACCACACTGTCACCAACTACTGATTATGTAATCTACATACACGTACTAACAAACATAGTCGTGTATAATAAATTTATCCAAATCAGTTAGGCGGCGAAGCCATGGTCAACTATTTAGCTAATCCTTAATTCAGCAATTGTGTATCACCCTTCACAACATACCCTCGGGGGGGGAGCTCTTACGAATCGTTATTTAATATTGCATTCATTATTGTTGCTACCGATAAATTTTCACAGACGGTTTTGTTGTATGCATGGTCAGTAGCTCTTCTGTATCCCATTGCAATTACCTTGGAAATAATATGACTACTAAGTTTTTGTTAGGCAGGAAAGGAGCTGACACTGATCACTTCGGACTAAGATCTGCTTTTGATACCTCTGCAAGAGTATCGTGTCTATTGTGATGAATTTAGTAATATCTGAACTATTATCGTTCGTCTGGACTTTTTGTATTTTACAGATCCTTCACCAGATCATCAAATTTACAATAAGCTTAAAGTCGGTGACCGTTCAAGCACTTCAGAAGCATCAAACTAGTCGAAAAAATGTCTTCTTTCTTGGGAAAATGGAAACTAAGCGAGTCACACAACTTCGATGCTGTCATGTCAAAGCTAGGTAACTACATATTGTTAAAGTTTATGGTTCTATACATCTTCGGGCGAATGTAAGATACTTATGTTTTTTGCTGTTACTCATGTATCTAGTATCATGTTCCTCTCAGTTGCAGAATTGATGTTCATCTTTGATTTTCCAAAACCGTGTTATTGTATGTCTTGTGTGGTTCGAGAGTGACCCGTGCAGGTCCACAGCATATAACCGTCTAACTTTTTTCTCTACTCAAAATAAAATAATACTTCGGTAATCAAATCGTAAAGGAACTAATCATAGTGAAGACCAAAATCATGTATGTCCTTGAGAAATACCAGGTTAATCCAACTGAAAATTCACAAACTTTCCTATCGGTAGTCTAATTAGGGAACGACTGCTTCTTGATCAGGGAGTTCTGTGTTATTTCTCAGTGTAAATAACGTCTACACAGCAAAACCTTCACTCATGTACGAGGCAATTATGTTTTTAATTCTTAAATGTTATCTGCATACATTGTTCGTATCTTGTGTTCATTGGTTAGATTTTGAAAGTATGACGTTGCTTTGTGTTGACCACATCATCTTTTCGGTTTTTTCTCTATATGCTTTCATAGTACTTTTTATCAACTAAATAGGGGTTTTTAATTTAGTTATATCTTCCTTTTAGGTATTTCATGGGCAACTCGACAGATTGGGAACACAGTGACACCGACTGTAACCTTCACAATGGATGGGGATAAAATGACCATGTTAACAGAGTCAACTTTCAAGAATCTTTCTTGTACGTTCAAGTTTGGCGAGGAATTCGAAGAAAAAACAAGTGATGGCAGAAACGTCAAGGTAAATAAACTTTTGGCTTCTCGGTGTGTATGTGCTTTAAAGATCTAATAGTTACTAAGAAACAATAGGTAAATTATTAGACATCCCTTTGATCATATGTAAATTCATGGGGATTAATCTAATTGGTCATTCGTTGCTTTACATCAAAACCGTGAATTACGATCACCAAATCAAGTACTTGTGTGTACTTACCAGCTGATTTGCCCTTTTACATGTTCTTTCTTTGATTCTCCAATAGCCAACCTAATATTATTAGGTTCAGAGCTAATCAGTGATGTAGAGTAAACCATTATTCAGACATCAGCTTAATGTCAAAGCCTTCCACAAGTAGTTGCATGTATTGTCGAGGTTATTTCTTTCGATTTCAATCATCACACACTAACACGTAAGTCACCAAAACGGTAAATGAGACGATACAAGTAGATTTAATTTATATGTTAGGGAGTAGCTGTAACCCATAACCTAAAGATCAAAAACCCAGAAACACTCATTGCACTACATTCTTACTGCCATAGTCAGCAATTATCAAACGCGTTTTTATCCCAATGAAAGAATAATATTTCACTCCTGCTATTTGCTTTATTCCCTTGTAGTCAGTTGTTGAAAAAAATTCCGAGTCGAAGTTAACGCAAACTCAAGTAGATCCCAAAAACACAACTGTAATCGTTCGTGAAGTAGACGGTGATACTATGAAAACGGTAACTGATATTTTCTCACTCTTAATATGTATTCCGTTTTAGACTGTGACTGTTGGTGACGTTACTGCCATTCGCAATTATAAACGACTACCCTAACGCCTTCAAATGAACACTGATATTTGCTTGGGGTGTTTTTTGTAACTGCTTGTATTTCTACTATTTTTGTTACATTGATGATAATCACCGGTGGATAAATTTTGCTACGCATGTATCATCCTATATTAATCAATCATTCCCGCATTTCAATAAACACTGCTTATTGTTGTATCTTGTAATTGTTAAGACAGTAGTTCGTAGATTTGATAGAAAAGAGGGAAAAAAGTGTAGGGAGATTTCGGCACTCAAGTTTCGTCTAAAAAAATAAGGAGTGAAGACACCTGCTACCAGATTCTATGTTACTATAATCTGGCGGACCCCGACTAACTGGTCCATGTCTGTCATCGCGTTACGTATGAGATTAAGTTGATCATGTTTTTGTTAGTCCGGACTAAATTGATCAAGTCCTGTACTTACTAATATTTGGGGTTAGATGTTTCTACTGTGAAGGAAATTAGGAGTGATCATTGGTTTATAAGCAGAATAGGTCTCGGTGCATCTAAGGAGATTCTTGACAAGATAACCATTACTCGAGACGTGTTTTTATGGTTATACTTTTATCTTCGTTGACGGAAAGTAAACCATATCTGGTACTCAAGTCTTATCTTCGAAGTAAATGTGTTTACACATTAGTTTTTGTCTTCGATAACTTACCAGGCAGGATGGTCAAGCTGTAGTCCAGGTGTAGGGACTAAATTATTATCCAGAGTAGCCAATTTCAAAATACTTTTTATATGCTTCTCTAAACAACATTATAGAAGAAAATCTTTCTTAGTTACGGAGAATAAAATCTAGCAGTGAAATTCCGATGTAAAGTTTTTGTTTTGATGCATTTCCGCGTAACTCTTCCCTCTCCCATGAACATACATTATCGTTGATGAGAGTATTTAGCCTCTTCACATCATTAGGAGGTAACCATGTTCATTATAAATTATTTAAATACAATCTTTTAAAGAAAAAGATTGTATATTCACTAAGACTTGTATAAATAGTTATTCCGGTGACAACAGAAATGATGCATTTTAATTTAAATTACTCGAAAAATACATTTATAAGTGTATATTACGTATGTGTAACGACTGCCTTCTTCGATTGACAGTGTTAACGGATGTAGATGTTGGGTGAAATAAATGTGTAGGTGGTCAAACCAAGAACTGGCATCAGTCCATGAAGTCATTAACTACGTTATTTCTAGAAAGAGCTTGAACTATCCCGTTGTTGATATCGAGACTGAGTCGTGATCAAATTACTTGGCATTTGTTCGTTAGAAGCAAAAATAACGCATTAGCTAGTATAATAAAAGTCATGTAATTAACATACCAACTTATTTAAGTTGTTTATAGTGATTAATTCAGGTCTAAAATATTTTCTTCATATACTATTGAGCACCAGAGAACAATATGCATGACTTAACCGAGTTTGGACAAGCAGATTACTGGATTTTGTACTGAAGATAACGTCTCACTACGTGACCTAAAGGAACTGGTTTCAACCCCTGGTAATTCTGTAAGTTTACACTTTTGGATTATCAGGTTGGATAGAAACAAGTATCTAGTGTTCTATGGCCTTCAGCAGATTTCCAGTTTGTAAATCATAAAACGTCCCTTTTATTTACTGGAAAACCTAATACTTAAAGTAGAAAAAATGTTAACTGTAGCCAATTACTTTGTAATCTCTATTGTTGTTAGTGTTTATTTTTAGGATTAGAACAATAGCTTGTGTATTTTAAACAATAAATAATATGGTGAACCAATTGAATTAAGTATACTGCTACATTACACTTAATTAACTGACTCAATATTACTACTGTAAACTCTATTCGATTATCAATGATTAGAGTCAACAACACCAGAAAACTAGTTGGTATTCGTGATAGTAGTCGCAGGGAAGTGAAACTTCATCGGTTGAGATGGCTGGGACATGTGTTACGTATGCCCAACCACCGACGTACGATGTTTTATGGTGTAGGAGTAGGTTGAAAGAAAGCTAGGGGCGTCCAAGTCAAAACATGGTACACACCCATGAAGTCACTGACAAGTGGACTGAGCCATGTTGGTAGGTGTAGACTAACTGGTTGGGATCCGCGAGGCAATAGCAACCGATGGTTAGAGACCTTGAATGACATGGCTCAAAATCGTTTGTAATGGGACAGGTGCATCCACTTCTTGTGTTCTCCCAAATCCTAATCTGAATTCTTCATATCCTTTTTTTTCTCTTCCCAAATTTATTCTAGTGGATTATATTCCTTGAATAACATATTCAGTCCCTAATCTTTCCGATTAGTGCCTGTAATTTTACTACCTCTACCACTATGACATTTGAACCGACAATTGTATCTCTGTGCTAATGTGCTATAGTAACTTGAACTGATATATGTACGTACGAAGTTCTACGTTGTTGCTGACTGAGTTGGTATTCGTCAGTAAAACCAATTAATATGTAAACATTTCAATCTTACATGAAGACAAACACAACACTGATAGTTTATTAACGACTCCTTTGATATGCTCAAATATTAACAGTTTTAAGTGACTCAGTTTTACATATTTGACGTATAATGCAATTGAACTAATCTATTGATAATTATTCGCTAGAGTGAATTTGCGAAGATGTCCATACAGAGTATCATGTTCATTATCACGAACTGATACTAAAACTAAAGATCAGATGGCAACGGAAACTGTTTCCTTCTAATTTGTTATTCTTTGGTATTGCACATCCATGAATCCATACACAGAATTAACCATACTACCTTCAAGTTTGATGGTGAACAGTTAGAACCAAACGCCTGATATTTTCATCTTAATCTATCCCGTATAGTGCAATCTTTATCTGATTTCGTCATTAAGTCTCACAATTTTATTTAGTTCAGTAGAAATCTAAATGAGTCAGTTGGTTATTCAATCACCTTCATTGAATATGCAATTACACACACTATTGATAATAACTAACCACTAAAATTAATTAGCTACTATAAAGTGAACAGAATACAAAGACCTATAGTTCATTCCATCTTGAGGAAATTTTTTATATATTATGGGTCATTCGTAATGTTTAGAACATATTATGCAACTTAGTTTCCAGAATTCTAATAAACAATGCATATGTACTACTTAGAAGCATTCAGTTAAATAAAAGGTGATGTCACATTTACATTAGAGAGGATCCGTAGATATATTGGGAAAAGATCATATTCCCAAATATTTATTTACTTAAACACATAAACATTGGTACAAGGAGGCACCAAATAGATATGCGTCACATGAATCATTCGATTGGCGTGAGGGCTAGAATGCTGCTCGGGTGACCAAACCGAAACAGGTAGTTTTCGTAGGGGGCCACACCTGGAGCTTTTGACCTAAAGGTCTAATCTACATGGCAGTAGAGCAACGTTAGGAGATGCGCTCCCATCGTAGCCGGTGACCAACGATTGGTGCATATGCCATTTTTTCGTAAGGATCCTGGAGCCCATGGTGCACCATTGGTTTGGAATGAGGGTTTTCCAACTCTCCTATGTAGATCCTCTATAACCACCAACCCGGTTAGAGAGCCGGACATTCTCTTTTCGTTCTCTCAATTCCGTAAACAACAGTAATGCAGTGAGTTGGACTTGTGTGGCATTGGTTGTATACTCGTGTCCACTTGAGATCATTTCGAGGAGGAGGAGAGCTGACTCTCCCCAGTCTCGGCCGTGCCAGGGCATTTGGGGGCTGTTCGCAAATAACTCCAATATAAAACTAAATTGTTTACATCCTTGAAAACGTTTTAGTAAAACGTAAATTTACGTGAAACTATAGTGCTTAGAGAATTTGTACTTCAGAGCGTTTCTCCTATTAAACCTATATGATTTCAATATTAAGATGCTTTAACTATGAAATTCATTTAGTAACTTTTTATTTGTCCGATTTTGATTGTTATTTCCTTGAACAACATTTATCTTGATAGATAGAATTCGATCAGTGCTATGAGACTAGACAAACATTGGTCAATACTCAGTGATCAACTAGTCTTAAATGTCCTGAATAACTTAATGGTAACATCTCAAATTGTGGAACTGGATGATGAAGATTTAAATCCTACAAATAGTTGCGCCTTATTAACTTAGTCCCGACTTGCTCAACACCTAGGCACAGAATTTCTTGCCAATTACCTAAAACCATTTAACATCCTATTGGGATTATTTTATCAGTTTGTTTTAAATACGTTGTGAGGACAGTATACATTAACAAGTGACATGTAGGGTCAGTGAAATGTCATTAAGCTCTAGCCAAATCATCCGGCAGTTGTGTCACTGAATAACGAGCAGTTCATCGATCCCCGTCAAGGACAAACAATGCGCATCAGTTAATCATATGGCATGGACTGGCCCATTCGAAGGTAGTCTCACTCTGCTTTTTGTACTCATTCTTATAAATATATTTCCGTATTAGCGTCCTTCGTGTTGTACGGTCTTTAAAGCATCCATAGTACCTAAACACGACGAAGGGGTAAGACGAGACTATAATTTATGAACGAACCAATCAGATATAAGATAACAGGTCTCGGATTTTTATGCCAAATTCACTCATCCATCTGGCTAAGTAGTAGGGGTTTCGGCATTATAGCTGATGTCAATTCGTGATGAACACACGAAATGTAATTCATAACCCTAACCGTTAACTGTAATTCACAATTCCAATTCCTTACACTCGTTTATAACCTTCATTTTGTCCTAGTTACCAGATATACACTATCAAGGTCACTTTAGCGTTACTCAAAGGTCGTCTCACCAGAGGTAATCCACATTAAGTGCTGACCACGAGATGTGATTTCGACGTTAACTTTTGATCACACCATTCACGTCTAACTCAAGTAGCCCCCCCACCAATCATTCGACAAAGATGATCAACATTAAGGATCTACAGACATAAATTGAAGGAATACTTCTAATTAATGAGTATTGAAAAGATGTTTAATCATAGTTCCGAACTAAATATATTACCCCAACCTAATTGTTTACA